GACAATAGGAAAAAAAATGGGAGGGGAAAGAGCTAACTAGGCTGAATTCACAGAGGCTGGCAGCTAGTGAGCCTAGTCAGTACGAAATGTACACGGAGGGCGATAATTTCTAGGACCCTCTCTTCAAGAAGCTAATTTCCAAGTTTTTTGGCCCAGATGTCTACTTATTAAACAGCCATCCAACTCAGGGTGGTTATTCCTTCCATCAACAGTAACACGCTTGGAAAGGTGTTTGGACCTTCCAGGAGAGGGAACATTTTTGGCACAAATACTGCCCATTGTGGGGAAAAAAAAGTAAAGTGATTCCTGCAAAGCATTTGTAACTTCAGTAGGGGATAGCTGGAATATTCTTATACTGTTTGTATTAGAAACATGAGCTTGGGGAAGGCTTCACTAACATACTATTGCCTTGAATTCCTGTTCGAGGTCTGCTTGCTAAGATGCTGCAGCCCGACCACTTGTTTGTAAATTATAATGGAGATGATGGCAGGTACGGAAGACAGACAAAAGCTTCTGATTATTATACCAATCCTGCTGGTCTCCTCTCAGATACACTTTTCTAATCAGTTCCTTCTTGGGATCATCCCCTTTGAGTGTCCTACCAATTGCAGGTGTAGATGAGGGCTCCCAACCACGCTGCCGTAAGGATGTAGGCCTAGTCACCCAAATAATTTTAGATTTAATCTAAGCTGAGTAGGCACAGTATCGCTGGGCAGTTTGACTAAATGGAAACTTGAGGTTCAGTAGAAGCCACCAGCAGGAAAATCAGAAGGTCTAAAGAACAACTATGTATGTCTCAGTGAAATGCCTATATTTTGGACAGGAATAGTTATAGGCATCATAACATTGTGTGAAGCTCAGGGAGTAAACTCTCATAAGTGCTGCTGAGTTAGTGCATATAGAGTAGATTGTTTTGTTATATGCATTTGACTGATTTTTTGTTAAAATCCAGGAAGGCTACTGATAAACAGGGAATAACTTAAGAGAAAATTAAATTAAGTTTTCTGGCATATATTTTGTTGTGGTTGTTAGCTGAACAACAGGCTATTATGAAGCTCTACAATTATAAAATTGTGTTACACTGACATTATAACCCAAGAAAGCAAAAAAACCCATCCCTTTCGTAAAGTCTCATTACCTGCAACCACGTTTAGCAGAAAGCTCCATGGGGTTCAAACCATAAACCTGGAAGTGTCAAATGAGATTAGCCAATTTTCCCACTTGAGCAAATTTGCACGTCAGACTTAGATAGTCTCACCAGGCAAACTGAAAGCAGGTGCTGGCAAAATCCTTTCAAACGACATTATTCCTCTGCTGTTTACAGAAGCACACACACAGGCACGGAGCACAAAAGAAACTGTTTGCTCAGTTTTCTGTTTAAATAGCCAGCTTCTTCATGATCTTTATTGCACATCACACCTGCTCTCTAAATGTAAGATCTCCTATGTTCTTGGGAGTAACACCTCACTAGCAGCTGCAGCTGAACCAGCTGAGCAATAGCCCGCAAAGGCCTGGATAGCACCAACCCGGAGATTTCTTTAGCATTTGTCAGCTGACTATGAGCTAGAAACTCGGAAATGAAAGTGCAGGCATAGCAGGAAGCAGAGAGCATTACTGCACGCCTGCATGAAGGTTCAGGTGAAAGCAGTGATAGTATTGAAATCAAACACATGCACACACACACACACACAAAACTGTTCGTCTCTTCTGCAAATGCTAAAGTGAGTTACTACCTTTCATTTTCTGCTGAGAGGGGGCTTTACAATACTTCTCCTTGTTGGAGTACTAGCTGCATCCTTCACACCAACAGTATGATAAACTTGATAACCCTCAGCCCAAGCCAGTTCAGGCAACTAATTTGGCAGAAAACTAATGCAACCGCCCCTCAACCCAACCAGCCTCTCCAAACCCTCATTACTTTTTTCCCCTCTGTTCTGCTATCTGTGAAAATGCACAAGAAAATAACAACTGGGGATATGGAAGAGGGAAGAAAATGAAAGTACTCTTCCTCTTGACAGCAGCCAGAAGATAGAATTCCCAAACATCAGAAAATCATGCCTATAAGATACTTCCATGTCCTGTGTCCCCCTGCCCCAGCGACTCTTAGGTATTTGGTACACATTCATACCAGTGAGGTAGAAGAAACCACTTTGAATTAGTCTCGCCAGGCCAGGATGTAAGGACTCCACTTGCTGGACATTGCCAGAATGTACGTGGAAAAGTCATGTCTTGTGTATGACTCCTACCCACAACCGCCAAAGTGTCTAAGGAGTTTCCTCAAAATTCATTTTCTGAGGAAGAAAATCAAGCAGTTGGTTGGTTGGTTGTTTTTTTTTCCTCCCTTAGAATAAGCACTCACATGAACTGAAGAAGGTTGGGCTAAAAGAAAAAATAATTGGGTCACCAATTGCAATTAGAGAAAAATTAGTGATGTACCCCTGTTGCCTTCCATACATCTGTAATTTCAAAGCATCTTGCCAGAACCTGGTACTACTGCTAGGTCCTTCACGGCTGGTAGAACCCAATTGTTGCTTTTCCAGCCTCTATGCTGTGAAGGAAAACAGACAGGCAAAATTTGAAAAACAAAACCAAAAAGAAATAAGAAAATCGGCTTTTAAAATCGGATTTCCAGGCAGCCTATGCAGCAAATTATAAGTGGTAGTTATTAACACCGCGTCCTAAACATTTGGTGTAGATTTCTGACTTCCCTGAAGTCGCACATCTTTCCTACCTATTTCTACAAACTAGCACTTCACCTTTGCCAAACAGCAAAACCCCTCCTCGTGGCCTTTGTTTGCACTACCTGCCTTAGATGCTGGGAGGAGAGCGCCCTTACCCTTTGCCCGACTCCCACCCTCGCAGGAAGCAGCTTTTCCTTGCTCATCACTGCTGGTGTTACCCCCCTCCCAAACAGGATTGGGGCAAGCCCCTCCTCTTCAGTCACAAGATTGAATCGCAGGATTGAAACCACTCAACTCACACTTCCAAACTTCGCCTCTGCAGGGTCTTGTGTGAGCTCTGTCTCCCAGCTTGGAAGGACCGCAGTACTACACACTGCCCAGCTACTGACTTCTGAACAGTATGACACCCTCGAGACGGCCTCCTCCTCCTCCCTCTGGGAAAAGGAGGAGCGAGGATACCCACTGAAGAGCAGGTGGCCACATTGGATTGTGCCAGTGAGCTGAGGTGACCACAGAGTCACATGCGCCAAGTGCCGCTTCTTTATTTGGCGTGTAATTTGCTTCTCCTCCGCTTGACAGACGGTTACACCTTTGTCCAGACTCACCTCCCCTGGCACGCTGCCGCAATGGGCTAAAGGGCACGCATCCACCTCTGATTACTCATTCAATATGGTGATTATTCTGTTCGCTTATGGCTAATGATAAGGGTTTGGCCTGCCTGCTTTACATAAGGCACATGCCAAATATTCTCTCTCCCCCCTTGTTTTTCTATAGCAAAGTACATCCTTGCTGATGTAATGGAGTAACAGGCTAACTCAGTTCAGCTGCTGAATATAATCAAGTTTCCTTGAAGTTCCTTTAATAAAGATGACTTGTGGCATCAATTTTTAAACCATAAGCAGAACTACAGACTTCTGTAACTGATACAGAATTAGAGGGAGGGAAGTAGAGAAGAAGGGAGAGGATGAGGTCAGAGTCCAAAACGTTGCAAAAGCTGTGTAACCGTGGAAGAAGAGTAGGGAAAAGGATGGAAAAAAGAAGAAAAAGACAGCTTAATTCAACAGTTTTCCTGTGGAACCAAGTATTACAATCATCTCATGACAGCTGAGGAAGGAAAGGCAGAGGCTGCAACAGGGAGAACAGTCAAATCTCACAGATTTCTGACAGACCATGCTCAGATGGAAACTTGAGCCAGGCAGGCACATTAGAGAGCACACAGGGCTCTCTCAGCTGCCTCAACATTACAATACTCATCCAATATCCTGCAAGGAGGAATCACCTGAGAAAACTATCAACATTTCCTCAAAACTCCGGGGTCCAAATTTGCTCCTACTGTTGCAGTCTGGGAAGACCTCGAGTACAGCAGAGTAAGAGGAAGCACATCAGCAGGATGCAGTTCCTAACCCTTTGTGTTGGGTACTGGGTTTTGCACAAACTTTGTACTGTGAGGTATGAGCCCACCCAGATCATGAGTGTCTGTCTGACTAAAACTGATGGATGGAATTGGGTTCATCCAAATTATAGTACTGAGTCACTTGTTTTAAAAAAGTTTATTTAAACAAAGTAGGTACATTTCACAGAAATGGTTATAAAATGCATAGCATATTATAAACAATACTGTTACTTTACAGATACTAGTTGTTATTATCCTAAATACTGCTTTTTAAAAACTAACCAGAAATGAGAAAGCTAAAATCCCCAGTTATACCTTCTTAGGCACTGTGAAAAAAATAGTATGATATAACTAAGCAGGTGTCCACTTTTTCATTCACTCTACTGATTGTATTGCTGCATCATTAATTCACAAGTTCCTATTATGTGGAAATATCTGGTCCCTGGAGTCAGATACCAAGACTAGACTTCCATCAACTGGAACACAAATTGCACTTGCTCAGCTGACCAAAACCCCATGCAACTCCAAGGAAAGCTGACTGAGTTAATCTTCACACAGATTAACTTAATGGACAGAGACTGTATGAGTGGACAAAAAAACGTAGCAGTTCTAAGTTGTGCAGATATGTCACACCCATACTGCTATTCATAAGCAACTCGACTGTAAGTTGGCGAGTCCATACATATTTCAAGCTTAACTTCAATAGAAATTGAATGCCCAGTAGAAACAGACCTTCCCCTCAGCTGTGATGCAATGCCACAGAATGCAGAACTGAGCCTTTTTACAGCACCCGAGAACTGAGCACACCTCGAACATTCAGAACTTCACATAACCAAATCCAGAGGTGTCTGTTTTCTGATCTTTGGGATGCCAGGGCACAAATAAGTAAAAATGAAGAGCACAGCACCAATCAATAACTGTAGCTGAGACAGATACCAGCTCATTCACACAAGACTTCAGCACGTGAGTCATGACTGAAATTCTTCCCGTTTAAACTTCAGTGACAATAGGCAGAAAGCAAATGCTGAGGTAAAAGGAGTTGCACCAGGTTTGCACTGGTGTAAGCAAGTCTAGAATCAAGCAAGCTATAAAATGCATTAATTCACACACAGTAGAGAAAGAAAAATCCCCTTATTTTCAAAACATATAGATACAGGTAGACCAAAACATATATGTTTTCAAAACATATAGATATATGCTCAAGAATAAACTGACCTTCTGCATTATGACATGAGCTTTACAGTAGTTTAAGCTTTGCTTGGACTGAAAATAAAGAAGCTTGAGCTCTGGCCAGCAGAGCTCCTTTGGAACTGTTTGTCAAGAAAAAAGAATGAGGTCTGAAGCAGTCCAAGAACATCAATGTTTCATTCACCATCTTCAAGTAGTTTTTGTAAGTTGTTCTGTATCTTAGAAAAAGAGAAAAATAATTGGGAGGCAGGAAGTGTTATACAGCATTTAAAAAAAAAAATATCAAGACATGCTCTTCAATGTACTCTGTGTGCACGTTAATTGTCACAACTATTCATACCAATGGTATTCATGTTAAATGCTCTCTGCACAGAGTCAAAGGAAACATCTGGATACGATCAGCCAGCAGCACACCTAGCTTTCATATTATGAGTATCTCCTGCAATTTCCTCCTACAGATTCTCTCCTTCATTAGGTATGAGAAAGTAAGACACAAAAAAAACTAGAGCTAGAAACAAAGGCACAAGAAACCCAATTATTTTCAACTTGATCAAAACCCAATAAAAGCCTCAAACTTCAGAGTTGCAGCTCTTAGGTTTAAGTGGATAATTCAAATAGTTTTGTAACAGCTTCAGCTACACAGCCGGCTATAACGTGTGCACAGCAAAACAAGGTCTTCTAACCATTAGCAGACATGTCCCATTTGCCAGATTTAGTGTATTGATTGTGGGTTATCTTCCCTTAGTTACGCTGAAGGCAATGCCAGCCAGTTGCATCCTCAAGGATGATTTACACAGACCTATTTTACACAGCCTATTTATCCACCTTTCATCTCCTTGTCATTAAAAGCAGAGAGCAGGGAATATAGTGGGTCACATCCCCTGGCACAGGTGTACTCTTATCTTAGTAACTAGCAGTCACTGGCTACAGAAGGTTTAGTCACAGCTAGTTTCAAACTTTAATTTGAGGAGCCATTGTACTTCCTGTTCAAGGATACCACTTCTTAATCCTACCTCATGATTTCTAGCCTGGATGCACACCTTTGTCAAGAGGGGCATTTTGGGGAATGGAAAATGATAAGAAGCATCTGATTTTGTAAGAGTCACTTAACGCATTTCATTTTCACAAGTTTCGTTTTCGTGAGTTTCGTTTTCACAAGCTACGTTAGAGTAAGGGAATGAGTAATATTAGGCCACGTTTTCCCTCCCCCAATTTAATGCTTTATGTTCTGATAGACACGGTGCATGTTAATAAGCTGTTAAATATACTTAAATGCCAAAGCAAAATTCTGCTAAGCCACGGTAATTCCTTGGCTCCAAGTATGAAGTAGAGCTTGTAAAAATCACAAGGTCACATAGAAAAAGTCATTGCAACATACTCTCGCACTGAACATTTTTTAACCAGAAAGTCGTTTTCAGTTTTTAACCTAGATAATTTCTATGCTCTAGTTTACAATGCTGTGGTCGCACAGCAAGTAAGGAGAGAGACAAGTTATACTGGAACTTTTACGCTACCTTTGCTGCTGAAGCCAGCTGAAGCCAATTACCAGCACTTTTCACTAAGGCATATGAAACAGTTCAGCAACTGCAGTAACTTTGCTCAGAGAACATAAAGCTGTTAGATTTCTACCAGTTTTGCAGTACAAGAGTAGGGTCAAACATCCTGTTCTAACCACTGCTCATCTAGATTAGAGAGGACTGGGATGTGGCAATATGCAGCTACAGGCAATACTCATTTAGCTTGTATACACAGCAGTTGATTGTGTCTTGAGTATTTGGCAAATACAAGGTAAGACTTTAAAGGTCCAATCCTCTAGACACTAACTGAAAAAAGCACATGACTTAAGACTAATTCAGGACAGAGGGTCACTTCTCTGGGAACAGCTGAATGATCCGACCATCCAGCTGCCTTGTACTGCATCTCCAAGCAGAGACTATATAAGGGAGTGGGAAAGTGCCTAGCCCTGCTGCAAAGTGCTGGCTGGCTTCCCGCTTAAATGAAGTGAAGGTCTCTTATGAACCATCTTGCCAGTCTGTCCCAGACAGCTGGAAAGCAGTAACCTCTTAAATGACCTAATTTGGCTAAAGAATGTATCTGGTGATCATCTGGTAAGCTTTTTCCCCTTGTATTCATACAGATATTATCCAGAGCACACAGAGGGGTTATGCTAGCGATACCCTAGACTTCTACAGCCAAAGGGTGGAGATGTGGGGGGAGAAAACTCTTTTTGGCAGTCTTTGTAAAGCCTATACCACAGAGGTAAACAGTGATATTATATAATCCTAGCCTTATGCTATTTGGGAAACTTGGTTTGGGAAAAAAGGTGTTGAAAGACCTTGGCATGCACTTAGTTTTAGAAACAGAGGCAAAAATATCCCATGTGCCTTAAGCACCTAGGAATTCAAGTAACTTTTGTTTTCGGCTCCACTAATACTTTTTTCCATGCTTGGCCAGCGTATGTGTTCCCAACACATAACATTTCATACACCTGTACTGGCTGCAGTTGTCAAGGTTTGGGGGCAGGGGCGGGACAGGGGGCTGCAGGGGCAGCTGCCGTGGGAAGAGGCCGGGGCTGCCCCGTGCTAGGCACAGCCGTTCCAGCAGCCTCCAATGGACCTACTGCAAGGCACAGCTGAGTCCCTCAGCCAAGATGGTGGTGGAACCTCTGGGAAAGTGTATTTAAGAAAGGAGAAAAACACCAAACAGAGAGAGGAGGAGAGTAAGTGGGTGAGAAACAGCAGAAGGAACAGCAAGGTCTGAGAAGTAGAAGGGGGAGGAGGTGCTCCATGGCAGAGAAGACGTCCACACTACAGCCCATGGAGAGCCCACACCAGAGCAGGGGGTTATTTCCTGAATAACTGGAGTCCTCAGAGGAGCCCACGCTGCAGCAGGGGGAAAATGGGGGAAGAAAGGAGCAGCAGAGAGAAAATTGTTATGTACTGAATGTAATCTCCAACCAGCCCCACTTGGGGGGCAGGGAGTGGGGTGAGGAGTCAGGAGCGAAGGAGTGAAGTTGAGCCTGGGACAGGGGTGAGGAAAGGTATTGTTCTGTCATTTGTCCTTGTTCTCACTACTCAAATCTATTTTAACTGGCACTATATTAAATTGATTTTCCTGAAGTAGAGTCTGTTTTGCCTGCGATGGTAACTGGTAAGCAATCTCCTTGCCTTTATCTTGACCCACGAGCTTTCTTATCCTATTTTCTCCCCCTGCCCTGCTAGGAAGGGGGAGTGGGAGAGTGGCTGGGTGGGCATCTGACTGCTGGCCAAGGTTAGCCCACCACAACACCTAAAGTGGAAATAAGGTCTGCACACCCACTCTTGTTTTGCATAGGTTTCCAACTTAAGTCAGCAAGTGCATTTAGTTTTGCAATTAGAGAATGGTAAAAAGTAAAGGTCAGGTATACGGAATTACACAACTGGTATAGCAGCATTTGTGTTACTAAAGTGAAACCGGCAGATTCCAGCCACTTCATATGAAGAGGCTGACTACATATGAAAGCCACCATCATTTTTCTTAATCAAAAACCCAAAAACTCAAACAAAAGTCCCAGACAGAAAATTTCATCAAATAGTAACAAAGGTTAAGTTCAGAATCCTTAGCCTTGATGAACCAAAAAAAAAAAAAAAAATTTAGTTGATTACATGCAATAATCACCCCTGAAGTGTCCAGTTTATTAGTATTCCTGGTTGTAAGCCTCAGGTCAAGGCAAAACATTTACACATACCAATGTTGTACACGGGCTAATTTGTAGTCCAAAAAATTGTCCTTTGTGTCTAGCAAGACATGCCAGCTTCTGGTATCAAATCTGGGGGTAAATCTTGGCACTATGGCACAGACCATAGAAATTCAGCAAGAAACTGATTAGTGTATCAGCATTTGCATTACATCAATAGGAAGTTACCTTTTCCAATTTTATAAGATTAGCAGTTAACTCATCACAAAGGGCATCAGCATTAATTTGCAGATGAGATCCCAAGCCTTGGCGCACTGGATGTCTGTCAAACAGAATGAAGAAGTAAGTGTGACAGAAGTGAAAAAGAGGAAAACAGGACTGAGAGATACATGTAGATGGGAATACAACAGCGGTATTGTGAACTGTACTTGTTTACAGAAACAAAGGCCCAAGTCACTTTTGCACTCTTGACTACATTCTTTATGTGGTCTCATTCTCCAGAAGTTTGGATGGAAAACTTTACAGCCATTTTCACTGGAAATAAGTTGAAAAGTTGCGTAAGTTCCATGTCCTGTGACTTGCAGGAAATCAAAAAGCCCAACCCCTTGATACTGTAGAAGTGTACATTAGATCATCCTGTATCTTGTACTGTTTGGGATCAGAGCAACAGAAAACAGGACTTTCTTGTATAAGAGTGCTTCAGAAGAGGGACACAGCATCCTGCTAATCAAAACGTGCCAAAAGTGGGAAAATGGCTTTTGACATTGCCTACTGTTGGAGGTAGGTTTATCCCTCTCCTTGCATTATTGTTAAAATATAAATGCAAGTCTTTTTAAGATAAAGAACTATTTCCTCCCTATTCCTTTTTTATCAAGAACCTAGCTCTGTCTTCTGACACATGCATGCAAGTCCTAGTGCCTTCTGCCGAAGACAGCTGAGAGCAGCTGGATCAGTACGACCACAAGTGCATTGTCAGAGTGACCTGTTCGTCATGGATGGGTCATCAAAGAAAGCTGAATTAAGACGCACCCTTACTCAAGAACTTGCTACAGGCTTGAAACACTTTGCAGAATGTTCCACTCAGCCTGGGTACAGCTCTGGCTTGAATTTTACTCTCCCCCTCTGTTTTTCAGGTGGTGCTTCTCAAGCTGTTAGCGTTCCCACTCACGCTGCATGTAGCTGCAGGTTTTGCAGTGAGATTTATAAATTACTTTCAAGCCATATTTTTCAGAGCAGCCCAGAAAAAAAATCAGTTATAAGAAGGAGAGAAGAGTTAATGCAAAATTTAATCTTGAATAAACTGATTAGTATTCTCAGCAGTATCCAGTTAACTGCCTTCTGTCCTAAGAGAGGAACAGGAAGCTGATACAACTTACAGTGGCATAGTGCTGTGGTGTATGCCCCTGCACTGCCTCTTCATCTGACGTTTGCATATTTCCTATCCATACAACATAGAGATTAAAAAAAAAAACCAACGCAGCGGCAGATGACATCCATGACTCTAGCCACAGGATGAAACTATTGCCCCCTTCCCTATTTCCTGGTCAAATACATAAAGAACCTCCTCTTGGTGTGTTCGGATTTTTTTGGTTTGGTTTGGTTTTGTGGTGTGGGCTTTTTTTGGGGTTTGTTTTTTTTTTTTAAATTTATTTTATTGTAGCAAGACAGGGTATCAGTTTATAAAGCGGATATAGGCAGGCCAAAGCTTTAGAAAACATTCTACAAGCGAGTCAGATGTATTAGCCGAAAGATTATGAAGAACCTTCTTGTCATCTTAGGCTAATCAAATGACATTAAGACCGAAGACAGAAGTTATACCTTTTCCACAGAATCATTGCTCTGGAAAGGAACTGCTCACTTCAGCAGTTTACACTTAAGTTACTCACAGCTACCTGAAACATTCTCAAGGTAGTATTACACCATGATATATCACATTTGTACTAGAAGTCTTAAACAGAAAGCTGTGAGATGAGGCAGGTACAGATACAAGAACTACAGGACACTAAAGTATCACAAGGGCACTACAGTTTCACAGTGGTTTCTGAAGAAAATAGATGAGCATGACAGATACTGGAAAAAGATTTTAAAACCCCCAAATTTTACAGAGTTTATCTTACTCCTTAATATGTGAATCAAAGGATGTGATGGAAATAAGACGTTCTTCCAGGACACTGATTTTATATCTCATGTAGAAGGTAGAAAATATTAATATACAAACACTGTAAAAGACAAAAATAAGGTACATCAGTTAATGGAAATTTTAGAGGTACCTAACAAATTTAATGTTAAAAGCCATTTAAATTGTTACTTGTACATGTTGAATAATAAAGGTATCATTCTTAGAACCACCTCAGGGATACCCATCAGTAGCATTCAGACAGTTCTGAAAATCTCAGCCTTGAGTATGGCTTTGCTAAGTGACATGTAAAATGAACTTGCAAGTAGTTAAACCCTTTTAACATTTCCTGAATCGAAAGACCCTTTGCTTTTAAAAGTAAAAGGTCTGTTAAGTAAGCCTGCCCCACCACTTCTACTTCTGAAAAGTATAAAGGCCACAATTCCCAATAATTTCCTTTTTTCAAGTGAAGCTTAGATTATATTAATCTACATAAACATAAGAAAACCCTAGTATTTTGACAATCTTGAAATTAATTGCTAACTTACAGAACTGCGTAAAATATAAGTACATGGTTCAGAGATAAAAGCTTCTGGGACTTCACTTTGTGGAAGAACCTGAAGGCTTCAGAATTGCCTGCGAGAAAAAGAATCAAGTGTTACTTTGATCAAAGCAGACCACGGCACACAAACGGTGTTTTGAAGCATGCAACAGATAATATAAACAGAGGGATAAACAAGAAAGAGATCTTCCAAATTATGTGAACTGACATAACTATGCAAACTTATCTCAACTAACTCCAGCTGAAGATCTGCCCTTGACTCCGTACCATTTCGAGGACTGTTTTGGGCTTTTCCGTCAGGTCCACGTTTACTGTGTGCATCTGAACGGACAGACTTTGCCTCAGTCTTGGAAACTTTCAAGTGAGTCTGTGTCTCAACGACATGATAATCTGTGAAAAGCAAGATTTTTAATAAAGCTGAAATATGAAGTCAAAGGAAGCTGTTGGTAGCTTACGTTAGTCAAGGAGTAGAGAATTTTGAAAGGTGCATTTCTGGACTTGGATAGAAAGCAGCAGTTGGTTTAGTAGCCTTAAAACATTTTGCATAGTAATTCCACATGATCACAAAATATAAAGAAGCACCTGAACTGGAAGAGGAGGATGTATGCTGCATTTATATTTCCAGATCCTTTGAAAGATGACAATCTCTGCAAACTTTGAAGGTTATCACTGAATTTCCAGTCAGAAGATTATACAGACACAAAAGTAATCTCTCAAAAGGACTGAATATGCTAGAGTAATGATTCCAAATAACTTTAATAGCAACATCAAGTGGAGATACTGCATTGTCACTTCATAAAGGAGATTATAGCTCCCTTTCCTGACTGTTTTTAAAATACAGACAATGTCTTGAAATAGATGGGACAGAAAAATCCGGTCACACTCAGTTCTGTTCATGCTTCACTTGCACACCCTGGACCGCTCTAGTGATGCACAAGAAACAGAATCATGAATGACAGATGTGTTCCCCCCACTCCTCAATTGCTTTTTCTAGGGTGATTCTTTAACTGGATATTGTTTTTTTAATTGTGGAAAAGGACAACGGAAAGGTTTGAAGTAGTTATTAGCTGTAAGGAAGTAAGACAGCAAGTTAAATCATTATTCAGAAGCATTCACGTGGCAAGTGATGACACCACAATTTAGTTACTGCTTCACAAACACCACCAAACAATTAAAAATACACACACAGTAAATACCAAAGGCCAATGAAAGCAAATAGCCCCAAATCATACCACTGAACAAAGACACACAGGAAAAAAGAAGAGTTAATTAAAACTAACGTGACAGAAAACTGCTATTAAGAAAAAAATATAGTACTTCATTTAAAAGTAATGGTAAGAGTTTCTTATTAGACAAATTCTTTTATAGTCAAGATGGAACCTGGAGTAATAATAGCATAACAACACATTAATATGTTAATATATATTAATTGTACAGCAGAATAATACCCTAGGTTTTGCTAATAACATTCAGCATGTGTTACATAAAACAAGTTCTGCTGTACTTATTAAC